TGGAAATTCCAGCCAGAGCAATCAGGCAAGAAAAAGAAATAAAGGGCATTCAAATAGGAAAGGTGGAAGCCAAATTGTCTCTATTTGCAGATGCCATGATAGTATACCTAGAGGACCCCATTGCCTCAGCCCAAAAATTCCTGAAACTGATAAGCAACTTCAGCAAAGTCTCAGGATATAAAATCAATGTGCAAAAATCACATGCATAACTATACACTGATAACAGACTTAAAGAAAGCCAAATCAAGAACGAACTGCCATTCACAATTGCTACAAAAAGAATAAAACACCTAGGAATACAACTAACAAGGAACGTAAGGGACCTCTTCAAGGAAAACTACAAACCACTGCTCAACGAAATCAGAGAGGACACAAACAGATGGAGAAACATTCCATGTTCATGGTTAGGAAGAATTAATATCATAAAAATGGCTATATTGCCCAAAGTAATTTATAGAATCAACGCTATCCCCATCAAGCTACCATTGACTTTCTTCACAGAACTGGAAAAAACCACCATGAACTTCATATGGAACCAAAAGAGAGCCCACATAGCCAAGTCAATTCTAAGCAAAAAGAACACAGCAGGGAGCATCACACTACAGGATTTCAAACTATACTACAAGGCTACAGTAATCAAAACAGCATGGTACTGGTACCAAAACAGAGATATAGACCAATGGAACAAAACAGAGGCATCGGAGGCAACACAACATATCTACAACCATACAATCTTTGATAAACCTGACAAAAGCAATGGGGAAAGGATTCCCTGTTTAATAAATGGTGTTGGGAAAGCTGGCTAGCCATGTGCAGAAAGCAGAAACTGGACCCCTTCCTGACACCTTACACTAAAATTAACTCCAGATGGATTAAAGACTTAAACATAAGACCTTACACCATAAAAACCCTAGAAGGAAATCTAGGCAAAACCATCCAGGACATAGGAGTAGGCAAGGACTTCATGAACAAAACACCAAAAGCATTGGCAACAAAAGCCAAAATAGACAAATGGAACCTAATCAAACTCCACAGCTTCTGCACGGCAAAAGGAACAGTCACTAGAGTGAATTGGCAACCAACAGAATGGGAAAAGATTTTTGCAGTTTACCCATCTGACAAAGGGCTGATATCCAGAATTTACAAAGAACTCAAACAGATTTACAGGAAAAAACCAAACAAGCCCATTCAAAAATGGGCAAAGGGTATGAACAGACACTTTACAAAAGAAGACATATATGAGGCCAACAAACATATGAAAAAGTGCTCATCATCACTGGTTATCAGAGAGATGCAAATCAAAACCACATTGAGATACCATCTCGCACCAGTTAGAATGGCGATCATTAAAAAATCTGGAGACAACAGATGCTGGAGAGGATCTGGAGAAAAAGGAACACTTTTACACTGTTGGTGGGAGTGTAAATTAGTTCAACCATTGTGGAAGACAGTGTGGTGATTCCTCAAGGACTGAGAAATAGAAATTCCATTTGACCCAGCAATCCCATTACTGGGTATATATCCAAAGGACTATAAATCATTCTACTATAAGGACACATGCACACTAATGTTCATTGCAGCACTGTTTACAATAGCAAAGACCTGGAACCAACCCAAATGCCCATTGATGATAAACTGGATTGGGAAAATGTGGCACATATACACCATGGAATATTATGCAGCAATCAGAAATGATGAGTTCGTGTCATTTGTAGGGACATGGATGAATCTGGAGAACATCATTCTCAGCAAACTGACACAAGAACAGAAAATGAAATACCGCATATTCTCACTCATAGGTGGGTGATGAAAAATGAGAACACATGGACACAGGGAGTGGAGTACTAAACACTGGGGTCTATTGGGGGGAAAAGGGGAAGGCCAGTGGGGAGGGGGGGACCTGGGGAGGGATAGCCTGGGGAGAAATGCCAAATGTGGGTGAAGGGGAGAAAGGAAGCAAAACACACTGCCATGTGTGTACCTATGCAACTGTCTTGCATGTTCTGCACATGTATCCCAAAACCTAAAATGCAATAAAAAATTAAAAAAAAAAAGAATAGAATATTTGTAAGGAACTGGTGACTTAGTTGTGTTTAGGGATGGTGGAATTGGGAGATGGCAGGAAGGAGACATCTCAAAATCTCATGTGTTAAAATTTCTAAGAATGCTCATGCCCTTTTGTTCAGTAATTCTAATTAGAGTACTTTACCTTATGAAAATAATCAGAGATGCTTACAAAGATTTATGTTCAAAAATATTTATTGCAGCATCATTTCATAGCTCCTAACTATAAATACTTTAAATAGGAGATTGATTAAGCATACTATAATATAGCCATATGAGTAAAAAGATACAGTAGTTAAAATTATTCCTCTAAGAATATTAGAAGATAAAGAGATAGAATATTGGTATAAGAAAAATGGATGTTCTATGGTCAAGAATAGGCTAAGGCAGACAACTGGTCCAGCATGACTCAGCAAGTTTGGAGCACAGGTTAACAACTCTGCTCATTATGTAACCATGCCACATGAGGGACATTGGGTGATCACCCATGTGAGTTCACACTTGGCTCGGAGACACTATTATTTGTAGAAGGTATAATTATCCTGCTAATGCTGTACATATGGCTCCTGCCCTGACTCACTTGTGCCCAGAGAAAGAGTAAAGCCATGCTGAAACTCTCTACGTTTCCTTTAGTGTTTTTCTGGCTACCTGCCACTGGCCCACCGACTCCCTTCAGACCACAGAACCTGACAATTGGTAAATGAAGAGGCACAATATTATAAAGCAAAATTGTAGACAACAAAATAGCATGTAAAGTATCAAATACACTTTAAAATATTTTTTTCTAGAGGCAATTTATGCAGTGGGTCTCTGAGTAAAAATTTTGTCCCTGCTTTTTAACTTTTAAATATTGTAATTTTTAAAATTGTTTTCAATGAATGTGTATTATATTTGTAAATACAATGCGTACAAGGAATCCCAATAAATGGTTGAGTATTTTTAAGTACCCTGTATAACAGTGAATTTGAAGCTTTCAGAAGCAGAAGTGCTATAACGGAAAGGTTTATCATAGCAGTTAATGCTTCTTGAATGCTAACTATAGGCTAGCAGTAATACATATTATCTCACAATTCTCTCATTATAATACATATGTCATAAATATTATAATATGTCATATTTCAATATTGTGTGTATGTATATTATACATATACATACACTATAGTATTTTATATAATATTAATAATAGTACTATTACTAAACATATTTCACAGAGATGATACTGATCTAAGAACTGACTTTAGAATTCCTTTAAGAAAAGTAACTGTTTAAAAACACCCTTTAATGAGCTTGGTGGTTTTAAAACATGTCCCCTAATTCTTTGGCACTCCACCCATTGAGAGGTGGTATTTATGTTCCTGTCCATTGAATCTGGGTTCTGTGATTTCTTGTCAAATAGAGATGATGAAAGTGATGCTGTCAGTTTCTGAAATAGGTCTTAAGAAACCGGCACTGTCTGCCTCCTGTCTGTTGAAATAGTTGCTGTTGAAACCCAGCCACCATGTTTTGAGGAAGCCCAAGCAACAAGATGCTCAAATGAAGAGGAATCAAGATGCTTTTCTCTTGGGCCTAGCTAAGCTTCCAGCTGACAGCTAGCATCAACTTGCCAGTCATGTAAGTGTGCCATCTTGGAAGTGGATTCTCCCATTCCTAGACTGATGCTGTGTGAATCACAGCCAAACCTGCCATGCTGAGTCCTGCCTGAATTGCAGATTAACAAGCTAAACAAATGATTTTTGTTGTTTTAGCCACTAAGTTTTGGGGTAGATTGTTTCTCAGCAATACATAACTAGAACAATGGGTATGCGTAGTTATGAACGTAAGATATTCTGGACATAGTGTAATGGGTCTGTGTCTGCAGGGCTTCATTAGATAGGTAAATTGCTTTATACAAGAAATGGCAGGAACACGGAGGACTGCAAGAGGGCTCTAGCAATTATGAGTATCTGGAACACAAATGAACTCAACAACCAGTGAAAGTGATCTTGTGCCAGAGATGGCATGGGGTTACTTAAGAATAGGAATGCCAGGTGTATGCTAATGCAGCTGCCTGCCATATGATGAACCACCTGCTAATCTCCATCAAGTTACAGTAAACCTTCAGCCAAATCCTGTCACACATACCTTCCCTGTGTTTGGAATACTCAGAATTGGGTGAGTGTGCTGCATTGAAGGCTGGCGGGGCAATGAGATGCAGAGAAAAATGGTGCGTACTTATGCAAAGTGGAGACTGTAATTTGAGAATTCATTAGAAACAAGAGCTGGAAGCCAGAGACCTCAAACTGTCCTTAATTTCCTTTCTTGCTCTATATTCCCCAACCACTAGACAGATGTGAGGAACCCTGGATGTCTTTCTTTGTGGAATATGGGTTCAAGTGCTTTGGAGCCTTAGTCTTAAGACTTATAGTGATCTCAATTGACTAGCGGATTATTTAAAGGGCATGTTACAGCATTAATCTTCATTGTGCAGTAGGTTTCCAAAATATATGTCTCTGATACGTACTTTTGAGAGGGATGACCGCATTACTTTCTGGGGCATCAGTGTGGGCTCTCAGGGACACGTATCATCTGGTTGCTTTTTGGTGTCAGTGGAGCATCAGACACCTTGACAGGTGCTCCTCACAATGCTACTTAATGAGGCAAGCTCAGGTCAGACTCCTTAGGTTGGCCAAAATACTCTGAGTACAGGAAATAAAATACGCTGGGTAAAGGCAAAAATCAATACCAGACTTCTGACCTCCAGAGCTGTAGGATCATAAATTTATGTTGTCTTAAGCCACTAAATTTGTGGTCATTTGTTGCCACAGCACTCAAAAATGAATAGTATCTGGATGTGAAATACTAATAGAGTATTTTAATTAAATGAAGGATTTAAGCTAGAGAAAATAAAACTATCAATAGCTTGTTTTATGAGTTAAAATAAAGACAAACAAAGCATGTTTTCTTTGAACTTACTTTTACTGGGGAAAAAAACAAACATTTTTTTCGAAAACAGTCAAAATAAAAGACCATTGCACAAGATTGCACAATCATTTACAAATGCTGGCAATGAAAGGTAAGTTGACTAGTCTCACAGAATCCTTGTCTAAATAGTTTACTCCATATGCAATGCACTGAAAATGTGATTCTCAGTGCTGTTGAGATTCAAAGTCCTCTTGACTGGATTCAAAGTCTCCTTGGCCAAGCTCATTGCATTCTACAGTTGAATCACATCAGACCTCAGGTAGAAACTTTTCCACCAAGATTCCTATATTGAGAGTAGTTTAATATTTCACATTCTTCCCATTTACCACCAGCTTCTTTCATAGTCAGGGGTACAACATTATCCAATGTCCTTCCCCATTAATCACACAATTTACTCTCCTCTGTTCCAACGTAACTTCTACCTCATTCACATTCTTTTCAACCACTGCTGTCTTTACTATACAAAAGTATGATTTATGTGTAAATACAGAAACACACATCTTCAAAGTGGGGGAAAAAAAGAAAGCATCACCTGCTATGGATACAGGTATAGTAGGTTATTCAGGAAGCCCTGGGAAGGACTTTTTGCTATTAACAGTAGCTGTAAAAAGCAATTATCAAACTTAGAAAAAGAAAAAGAAATAGAAATCAAATTAGATGTGTGTGTTTTATTCTGCACCATTATGAATTAAACAGGAATAAATCTAACAATATGCTCTAGTTGCAACATGAAACACTGAATGTTAACAGCTTACATATGCTGCTCTGAACATTCAGTTCTCCTCTGAGACACAGGACATACAAAGGAGTTCAATTTTCGGACTCTTCCCCTGGGCCTAGTACTCACACGTGCCACAGATGGACATGTTTCTTTCCCGAGAGGACCAGAGCCCACAGTTCTGATTAGATTCAAGCTTAAGGCACCAATTAGCAATTGCTACATGCTTTATTAATGATTTTAGGCACCTGTGAGGTCTACTTAGGACCCAGAAGTTAGTTAAGAATATATAAGCAGTGTCTTGATAATATATATCTTATTTCTATATATATCCTTAGAAATTATGTGAAAGCCTAACTTATTTTGTGAATTTGATTTTCATAAGCAGTTTTCTCAAACAAACTTACACAAAAAATTTCCCCCTCAACAGTACTGGTAAAATACAGGGCACCTTTTTCTTTCAAGTATTTGGGTGAAATAGCATACCCTGAGAATTTGGGGTGCAAACCTACACCTTGTAAACTGTAGAATGAAACTCCTCAAGCACCACATAAGAAAATGTATACCATGATAGTTTTTAAACACAAAGACTATTATTGAATGTTGTTTTCCCATGCACATATACATACTTATCATGAGATTATAGTCAATCTGCTTCGGAATCAATAGTGTCCTGTCCTGCAGTCCAAAGTATTATTACATGTAACATGAGCATTCAGTTTGTAGCAAACACAGACTTTGATTTCCATGAAGTATGAAAACAATTAAAATGTATCTTTTTAAGAGGCAAGGATGATAATGTCAAATTTGAAAGTAAGAAAAAGGAATTTATATCACCAGATATTTCCAGTGATATATGGATGTATTAGAAATGCGTGTCAGTAGTTGAGATGTGTTATAAAGGTGTAAAGTGTAACTTGCTTTAGCTTATTTACTCCATGATAAACGGACATGTAGAGAGCTATGTCATTACCTGCATATCTGGGCCTTCCCTTAATCCTGAGGGCAATTTCAGTGAGTGCTTTAAAAAAAACATTCTGGTGAATTAAGTTTTTATAGGGTTATAAATGTGTTTAGTTTTCCAGAAACAATTGAAATGGGGCATATTTCAAATATTTTATCAAGAAGTACAAAGTGGCTCTTCTGGAAAACTGAGCCACACATATAACCCGAAGAGGATATTATGAAAGCCAGACTCTGCAATTCTGATTAGATTCAAGCTCAAGGCACTATTTAGGAAATGTTTTACTAATGGTTTTATAGCAACAAAACATAAAAGGGGAGTTCAGTAGCTAAAGGGACATTATTAGGGTAATAGGTTTTGGATCAGAAGGCTTAATAGACTTGTTTAATTCCACTTGGGTTGTAAAAGGAAGGGTATATCACTTCATTCAAATATTCATGCAACCTCAAGAAATGACAAAACAGTGAAAACGAAGATTGAGATTTACCTCATGCCCATGAAAATATTTTTCCCTATCATTTGAGGTAGTGAATGGCCTAGCAGCTTTGTATGATTTGGTGAAATAGAGAACTATAAAATTATCAATAGATAACATATTAATAGAACATTATTTAAAAGTTGCATTTTTTAACCACTTGGACATCGCTGTGTCCTCGGCAACTTCTTAAAAGGTGGAGCCTCTTCTATAGAACAAACAAATGAAAACCTTTTTCTTTCCTTCCTTAGTTTGCGTCCTAATTTACCTCAATGTGAGAATTTAAAACTCAAATCTGCTGGTGATAAATACTGATACATAGCTTATGGGTCCCAAACCCTCAACTCTACCACATCTTCTAGGGAAGGAGTTGTCTCTCTTTTTGAAGAGTTGGCAAGTAGTCACTACTCAACATGGCCACTGGGTTTTCCTGAAAATCACATGTGGTTTTAAACCAGTCTTAACAATTTTGGTACTATCCACCCAAATCCTATACAGGTCTCACCAGGTGTATTCAAATACTGGCGGTTTCTTGGTGCTGCTTTCAATAAAATAAGTGTAAGATTTCTGAAAGGGATTCTGCTTTCTTGGGTCAATATTACGTTACCTCATACGCAGCCAATCTCTCCTGAAAACGAGGAAGCTCTGATGCTGTAAGATTTGTTCCCCGGCGGTGAAAAGTAAGTTCTAGGGGGAGCTGATTGATGTCCCTGGGTAAGAAGACCTCTGTGATAAAGAAGTATGTTTTTTCTTGAATTTGGCACAGGGCATCTTTTTTATACACAGAGGCTACATTTCATATTTCATGTCTCATCAATTCTATAGCTTCATTTCATAGCTCATCAGCACAACAAGCAATTGAATTGTGATCAGGGCTGTTTCCACCTCAAATCTTTCCCTATACCAAGAGCACTTTTTTCAGAGTAAGATCCCTTAAAGGAAGTCCCTGAAAGTGAAATTAAGTTTTTTTCAAAAGTCTAAGAAGGAAAGCATAACTACAAAGTAACAAGATTATATAAATCATACAAAACTCAGCTTTGTAGTTTTTTACTCACACTTTTCTGATTAGATTCAAGCTCAAGGCACTATTTAGGAAATGTTTTACTAATGGTTTTATAGTAATAAAACATAAAAGGGAAGTTCAGTAGCTAAAGAGACATTATTAGGATAATAGTTTTATGGGTCAGAAGGTTTCATAGACTCTGGATTGATTCCACTTGAGTTGTAAAAGGCAGAGTATATCACTTCATTCAAATATTCATGCAACCTCCAGAAATGACAAAAGAAAGAAAATGAAGACTGAGATTTGCCTCATGCCTGTGAGGTGAAAAAGTGCTAGTAATTAATAATTTTATGCTAGTCATGACAAATGAAGAACTTTTAAGCAGAAGCCAAATATTGCTGATGATTAAAATAGCAATAGAGCATTGAAGAAATTACCAGAATACTTTATCATTAAACAAATTGGTAAATAAAAGGAGATTCTTAAAAAACAAAACAAAACAAAAAACGCCTGGGAAAATCTTCAAATTGTTCCTTTAAAAAGTAATTAAGAAGTGTTTTAATGTAACATTTGCCAAGTATATATCAACACACTTATTATGACAAGCTAAATATCTGTTCAATCAAGTCTTCAAGACTCCCCGTGAACACTCACTCAAACAGCCTTCAGAATTGGGTTACAACTGAGACAGTACTAAATGTCGATAAAAGATTCTGTGATTCGGATTCTTGACATCTCTTCAAATCTGCCTCATAGGGAGCAAGTGCTATAACTCTAGGTTACTGCTACGGGTTAGTGAGGCTAGGGCTGGAGTGAATCAGAGCCACTGAATTGGTGCCGTATTCTTCTCTACTACCCCAAACGGGTCAATCTTCAGACTCCGAACAATTCATGAGAGACAGGAGTATGCAACTATGGAGGGAATCACTGAAGAAAAAAAGTGCTGAACACCCACAAAAGTAATTCGATTCTTAAAGGAAAATAGATATTTTATATCTTTCTGAGACTAGGTACTTAATTTTAAGTGCAATCATTGGCTCTCCAGTATTTCAAGCCATCCTATTTTAAGGCAACAAATAGTGTCATGACACTGTACAAATGGGAAAAATAAAGCACAAACATTAAAACCACCGTTTTTCACAATCACATTTGAAATGATGCCAAACCCAATGAAAGAACACATAGAGCATAACCAAGAGAATGAATAGGTTTGGCTGGTATATGATTCAAAGAGCAGAACGTCATATTGAAAACTTAAATATGTACTACAACTCAGCCAGCTAGTCTTGATATTCCAAGAATCTGTAAAGAGATTCGTAATCCAAATTACTGATTTGCTGGCTTGGTTTACAACAGAGCCAATCCCATTCTGTTGCATGTTTTGACTGAACAATGGGAACAAAGGAATTGTTTGCCTAGTCACAAGTGCAGTGGGGAAGGAGGTGAATAGAAAGCTTATATCCTGTGTTGAAGTATAAAAAGAAATACTTGTAAAGGGAAAAAAATGCATTCATTCAATCAACTTAACAAAATTAGAATAAAAACTGCCTTAAGAGGGTTGTTCAGGAAGACATAGAAACTTACGCACTTGGTTTATAGGAAGCAAAAATTAAGAATAACACGAGGAAGAAGTTTTTCAGATGAATTAATTCTTAGTGCTATCACAACACAAATTCCAGATTAAAGAAGAATAGTCCATCTTTTTATCTTGCTCCTATAAAATAAAAAAATAGAAAAAATAGTCAAGGAAAAGATTGCTAGTTCTAAAAGCAAATTTCATTTTTATGAAGCAAGAAAATTTTAAAATACATTTTATTTAACTATTTAGCTAATTTCAATGTTAATAATGAAGTTAACATTTTTAAATGTGCTTGGTAAATGTGCTTATGAACTTACTAAACATTATAAAAACTTTGAGAAATTGCCCCAAATGGAACTTGAATCAAATCTAATCAACTCTTCAAAAATGATTTTAAAATTAAGTGTTCAATTTCATTGAAATCATTCATAGCAAAGATAAAATAATAGATATGTTTCTAATATTAACATGCAGAAATATTTAAGATAAATGGAAACATCTGAAGTTTAGTTATCAATCTAATTAAATGAGTAAACTCTATACTGAGAATTCTTGTAAAGCAAATGACTGGCACCTAAATTATGTGGAAATTCACATAGTATGCTTTGTTCAAAATGAGTTGTACCGGTTAGAATCTGATTTAGTTAAATCCACTCTAGAACAGTATTGGTATGTTCAAAAGCTTAATGAAAGTTAGCCCTTTTGTCTATTTCCATGTAAGTTCTAGTATATCTACTAGAACTTTGCCTAAGTAAAGTTTTTAGGCAAAGTTGATATTTTTAACATTTGAGAGTTGATATTTGAACATAATATTATGAAGACAGAAATAGACTGACTTACAGGTAATATTTGTTAGGGATTAAGAGGACTCATATGAAAAATAACCCCCAAGAGGTATCAAATAACAGCTACCTAGCCAATCGTATGCACTCAGAGTAGCAAGGCAAGGGACATTTTAATTCTATCATCTAGAAACAAATCTGTTTATGTGTTTAAAAAAGAAGTCTATAAGAATAATTATGTTTTTAAGCTCATATGTATATACTTCATGTTTATTTTATTGTGTTGTATTTTATATGAGGAATGACCTTCAAGATAAAAGTGACTGTTGTAAATTTGGAGACCTCTCTTTTGGTAAATGTAAGTTTTTCTACCTTAGGACGTAAAAAGCAGCAATGGGAAAAGAAAATTTAATTACAAGAGGGAGAAAAGAAAATATGAGACTCAGAAAAATAATTATAATGTGGGTCCTGGGATTTGACAACAACTCTGGCTGAGTCCTATCACAAGGCAAGATTTGCAAAGACTTCTTGGGCAGTGAGAAGACATTGAAGGGAGACAGAGAGAAAAGAAAAAAAGTCACGAAAGAGATTGCATTATAGGGTGGTAATAGTCTGAGAAATAAAGGAGAAATCTGGTTATACAATCTACTAGAATTGTATTTAGGGATTGATAGTACAGACACTGCCTTTTTGGATAGTCACAGAATATCGCTTCTGCTTACATTAATTTCAGAAGGATTTTGTTTGAAATTGGAAAGTAATAAAGAAAAAGTAAGAAAAGAAAAAGTAAGAAAAATTGCCAACATAGCTAACCTGTTAGAGGCCTCACAAACATTTACTGTAGTAGAATGGATCATGAAGAAGTCAGTAAAGATGAAGGGATGACTATGCTGTATCACCAGGGAGTTTAGCTGGATGACTTCCCATGGTTTTAGGACCAGAACACGTGACAGAGTTGAACAGGGATGCTGGGTCAGATTTTCCCTTTCTCCACACCAGCCTGTGCCCAGACAGAGAGGAAAATCACCACACACAGCTGGCAAGCTATGCCTAGAGTTGTATAATATTCTGGAAGGCCTTGGGGGATACTAGAGTACCCTGACACACAGCCAACTGGCCTGCCCTGACAAATCAGCCAGCTAGCTCAAAGAGGACTGCAGAACTCTGGACACTGCCTCCAGTTTGGGGAAATACAGAGCAATCCTGGGCACAGGTCTATGATACTTACCTTGGGAACCTGCATTGATAATGGCTGATTTTCTACTCTGGTGAGGGCCCCTGAGAAGATACGGGGATTCTGAGGCATTTATGAAGATTTAGTCTTAAGGGAGCTTGGACACTTACTATGTTGCCATGTACTATATGCTATGTCTTCTGTCATGGTTTCAGAATACAGTCTTTACTACTCTCCTGAAACGTATCCCCATTTTACAGGTGAGGAAAATGAGTCTCAGTGACAGCAAGTCACTTGCCTAGACTACACTGCGACTAGTAAGTAAGACTAGTCACTTACACTAGTAAGTAACAGTATTAGAATCTGAGTTGGGGTTGCCTGTCTTCAAGGCATACATACTTGTGCTTTAGGAAAAGCCACACAGCTCCCCTTCAACTAAAATGCTTTAATCCGCTAGCATGCAAGATTTCACTCCTACCTTTATAGCTCACATTCTACTGCTTTACATAATCAAAAATTATCACACCACTGGGAGCTACAGCTTTTAGGAGTCCTTAAACTGGCTCAGGTTTCTTTTTGCATACAGTGTTCTAAGGATAGCTAGTTGTTTAATCAAATGAAAAACACATAGAATTTTAGTATATGCTGAACACTGACAGTCAGGGACAGTTTCTTATGTTATTCCCTTCCGCTGCCTTTTCCCCTAAACCACGAAACACACACACACACATGCACGCACACGCATGCGCGCACACACACACACACACACACACCCTCCACAGCAGTAAAATGGCCAGAAGATTCTATTTCCTCTGAATTAAACAGAAGATTGGAAAATTAGCAGCAAGGCAGCCAGTCAAATTCCAACTGTGTTCTCTTTCCCCATCCACAAGGACTTTAATGTTTCATATAATTAATCCTTTAGCGGACTGATGTGACCTAGAGGAAAAATGCAATGGTTGAAAAATTTTGGAGAAGTTAGGGAATAAGAAAGTCATGGCACAAAGAACAAATAAGGGAAGAGGGACAATTTACAACAAATAACTCAGACCAGAGCACAGAGAATAAGACAAGTAGATAAACAAGGGAATGATCTATAAGAGCAAGGGCCACGGAACTCCAAGTGCCTGGATTTCAATAGCTGTTGATCTGGGACAAGTTAATGTTTCATTTGTCAAACAGAGATTAAAAATAGTACTTACTCGTGTTAAGAATTAAACAGCATGATGTTAAGTCTTGGTATATACTAAGTGATTAATACACATTAGTTATTACTTTTCACTTTTTATTAATTTTAGATAACCTAAAAAAGAAAATATAAAGGCAATAGAATTTAGATAAGTTAAAAAAGAAAATGTAAAGGCAATAAAAGAAAAATACAAAATAGTAAGCTAGAGGAAAGCCACAATGTAATTAGAGGGAAAAGGAGAAAAGAAAAGGCAAAAACAAAAAAAGACATTAAGAAGATAAAACAGCAGCTATATATAATAATTGGGATAGGAAGTCACTATTAAGTTAGTGGGAAAAATAGATATGAAGTTATAAGTTCATGAAGGTAATTGTGGAATGAAGTGAAAATAAAATGTCTAGCTTTAGCCTGCATGTTAGCTACCTGGCCTGCGTGCACTTGGGGCAGCAAAGTTCCTGTCCCTTGGATGATGTGCCTGGGCTGGCCGCAAGTACAGTGCTTTAAGAACACTCAGGAGAGGGAGCTGGAGGACCCACCGAGTCCTACCCTTTAAGCTGTCTAATCTAAGATAAAAACAAACTGCGAAAGAAGTTAGGAGACGGGAAGAAACAATGCAAGGTGGTATGGCATTGAACTAAATCAAGTTGAAGTGAAGGGAAAATGAGAAACCCCAATAAGGAATAAGCTGCCAAAAAAAAAAAAAAGAAAAGAAAAGCAAAAGACCGAAAATAAATTATCAAGCAAATGGCAAGGGAAAAAAGAGAGACTAGTGGGACAGACACCAGGAAGTAAGTCCATCAAAGAAAAGTGGCCTTAGGGAGAAAAGGAAAAGCAGAAATGGACAGCAAGAAGTAAACGCCTGTGCACCACTGCACTCCAGCCTGGGCAATGTAGCAACCCCACCTCAGAATGGGAAAAATATTTTGCAATCTACCCATCAGACAGGGCTAATATCCAGAATCTATGGAGAACTTACACAAATTTACAAGAAAAAACCCCATCAAAAGTGGGCAAAGGATATGAACAGACACTTTTCAAAAGAAGATATTTATGCAGCCAAGAAACATATGAAAAAATGCTCATCATCGCTGGTCATTAGAGAAATGAAAATGAAAACCACGTTGAGATACCACCTCACACTAGTTAGAATGGCAATCATTAAAAAATCAGGAGACAAAAGATGCTGGAGAGGATGTGGAGAAATAAGAATTTTACACTGTTGGTGGGAGTGTAAATTAATTCAACCATTGTGGCAGACAGTGTGGTGATTCCTCAAGGATCTAGAAACAGAAATTCCACTTGCTCCAGCAATCCCATTACTGGGTACATACCCAAAAGATTGTAAATCATTCTATTATAAAGACGTATGCACATGTATATTTATTGCAGCACTGTTCACAAGAGCAAAGATTTGGAACCAACCCAAATGCCCATCAATGATAGACTGGATAAAGAAAATGTGGCACATATACACCATGGAATACTATGCAGCCATAACACAAATGAGTTCATGTCCTTTGCAGGGACATAAATGAAACTGGAAACCCTCATTCTCAGCAAACTGACACAAGAACAGAAAACCAAACACCGCAGTTCTCACTCATAAGTGGGTGTTGAACAATGTGAACACACGGGCACAGGGAGGGGAGCATCACACACTGTGGTCTGGGGAGTGGAGGGCTAGGAGAAGAATAGCAGGAGGTGGGGGGACTGGGGAGGGATAGCATTAGGAGAAATACCTAATGTAGATGACGGGGCGATGGATGCAGCAAACCACCACCATGGCATGTGTACACCTATGTAACAAACCTACACGATCTGCACATGTACCCAGAACTTAAAAGTATAATTAAAAAAAAAAGAACAAGAAAAAGGCTCTGGAATGGAATATTTAGGTTTCAAGTCTCAGCTCTATGACTAAGGAAGGGTCGCTTACACTCTCTGAGTGCTAATTTCCTCTTGCAATTTTAATACAAAGAGACTGGGTTTGATGATCTAAGGACCAGTCTAGGGCCCTCGTAGAATACTCTAATAAAACAGCTCTCCCTGAATCTAGCCCTTACTTTTCCTACTTCAGTTGCTGATGCTTGGGGCCCTATTTAGGGGGTAGAAGTAACTCTGAGGAAGTAAATAGAAAAGAAAGACCAACAATGCGGGAGCAACATAACACACGGAGAAATGAAGACGCTAAGTCATTAAAAAAAAGGGGGCATTCAAATGAAACAAAATAATTGCAATTCTCTTAGGCTGATATCCACTATTTAACAGGCATTGTGCCAATGAAAATTTTCTTTTGTTAATATTAAGTATTTATTTTATCTTTATGCCCTTGTAAATGGTATTTAGTATCAAGTCTCAATTAAAATCTTAAACAAAAATATAGCATCTAATATATATTTTTATCTAACATCTGGATATGTCAGGAAGGGAAAAATATAGCCATCTGCCTTGAATAACAGAAAATTAGAAAAAAACAAACTCATTCAAAAGTAGTCAAAGATCCTGTGGAGGTAGACCATTAAAACCCAAAATAGACAGACAAAAACATCTAACAACAGAGAAAAAGAAAGTGGTGGAGTTTTGCAACTGGTGTTCCTATCACACTGGTACGCTGCAGTTGGGTTACTGCTGTAGTCATCTGTGCAGTTGGGTCCCAGGTGGTACACAGCCTTGTCCAGTAATCACAATGTGAGACAGGAGTACTAAATAATAAGAAAATGAATACTATTCTTATCTTTTTAGATGGGCTGTGGCAGTGGCAAAGTCTGAGAAGTACTGGAATATTGACCACAAGATGAAAAGAAGTGAGAAAAACCCACCTATATATATATATTTTAAAATAAAGGAACATTTATAGCAGAATAATCAGAAAGAGATAACAGCAGCTGTTTATGTTCAAATATATAAGGGGAGGAAAAAAAAGTGAAGCTCCCTGTTGCAATGTGGTGCTAAAAATAGAGGATGAAATATTATTTGAACTGGAAGGAATCTTAAAGGTTATGATATTTCTTGAACAATTGTTTTGCCATTTTGTGTGTATACAAGTCTATTTCCTGCTGGAGTATAGGCCCCTCACTTGTGTTACTTGTTTATGGACCCACCACGGAGTACACAGTGGCTGATGGAATGTAAGCATGTAATCTATGCTTGTTGAATTAGTGCATTTTGTTGAAACATTCATTTTACAAATGTCCAGAGAGGCAAATGGAAACACAGATGGTTAATGGCCAAATGCCACCAGAGAGCAGATCACGGGTGTCCTTGCTGCCAGTTCAGAGCTCATTACACCTCCTTTACTGTCCTTTTTTTTCCTCCATGCATCACACCAAGGAACACAGAGTGTTCTGCAGGAAGCATGGTGTGGCCCAGGGGTTAAGAGGTTCTGTCACTCTCTGGGACCTCAGCAAAACCATTTCTTTCTAAGTCCCAGTTTTCTTCTCTTGTGGTCAGAAAAAATCATTTACACAAATTCTCATTTGAAAGGGGAGCATAAACCTACCCTACCTCAAAACAAATATCTGCAATAAGTGTGGTTTTTAAAGGAAATTTTGACCTGAAATCACATTTCAAGATTTCTCACACTGACCATCTATATGAGCATGTTGAAAGATCTGAACAGTGCTTACATTTTTTTTTTTTTTTTTTTTTTTTTTTTTGCTCAAAGAAAAGAATTACACACTTAAAAATATCCATCTGGCTTTTCTTTGGAGAGTGGTACTGCATGTTCAAAAAGGTGAGTTTTTAAGGATTTTTAATTCATTATTTCACTTTGGCTAAGTCAACTTTTGCCTGAGTACAAAAAGCTAATCTTTAGTTTCCAGCCAGATTTGACCTTTCTGTCTATCTTTAGGGCTTTATTTACTAAAATAAAGGTTGTGCTTTCAAAAACAGAAAAAATGTTAAATATCACTATTCAACTCCAAAATTCTAAGAACTGAAATATATATCTGTGTTTACTGGAAACAATCCGAAGTCTAATCTCTCTAGACTCAACAGACAGGAGAAAGGCCAAAGGCAGCTGCTTAAGAGGACACTGTGCAAGTGTGTGCCCTATCCTCCCTCCTCTCTTCCCCGGCCTCCCTTCCCCTTGCTTCTGCACCTCCGCAGCTTGCACAAAGGCCTCATCGCATTAGCTGGTCCAAAATAGCCCTAGGTAAACACAGCACCTGTCTAAGCAATTAAAACACTTTTGCCTATTGGTTATTCTTTTCCTTCTGCAAAACTAATTCTCTAATTCTGAGTCTCCTACCCATGCATACTGAATTTTTTTAAATTTTTACACTTAACAAAAAGTTATTTGTAAAAATTTATTTGTCTTTTTCTCCCTCCTCTCTTTATCTACACAGTGCCTGTTGTAGACTCTCCCAAAAGAAGAATTTAAATAATGTATGTCTAGATTGCAGCTAAAATGAGGCTTGTGCTTTCAACTGAATTCTTAGAGAAAGATTTAAGGTTTTTTTGAACAGTGCCTAATGTTGTCTTACAGTCCAGTAACTGTAATAATATTCAATAACAATCCCTTAATTTGAACAAAATTTACAGTTTGCAATACATTGCTATGTCATCTGATATTTAGATGCATGTTTAGGGTTAGATATTATTGTCCCCACTGGAGATGACACATAAATGCTAGAGAGTTTGTCAACCCCAAGATCACACAGCTGGTGAGAAGCTGTGTGACTCCAAAATTCCAATGAACCTAATTCCTGATTGAAGCCTCTTTCATTGCACAAAGCAACAATGTTCCTCTGTTCCTTTACCATTATAACAGAGAAGAGAGAAATAACTTATTTTTATTATAGAAGCATAAATAGGATTTCTCTTCTTTCTCTTTTTTTCTTTCAAAATATGATCTTACCAAAGACTGAAAGTCCTAAGAAGCATTTATAATAGTAACCTTTCCCAATCTGAAGAGAACAGGAGTATAGCGGCAAGTTTATCCCCAGTTCTGACACCTTTACGCTCCTATCTGAAGGCGTCTTTGCCCTGTCATGTGTTTGACCTGAAGTGTCCTGGTTTGAACAAGTAAAGCTCACTCTTCCTATCAAGTTCCACGTACTGTATTTCCAGGGATTCCTGTTTGGGCATTTGGATTAACCTAGATGTCAGGAATCTATTTACTCTGATTTCACTTACCTAGGGGAGGTGTGGAAGTTGACTCTTTTCTGAAGAAAGAATGCAGACATGAAAATAACAGTCTTGTGGGATTAGCAGCAAAGTATAATGTGTTCAGTCTGAACAGGACTGGATTAAACACAGCAACTCCATTCAAGCAAGGAGTAACGGCAGCTCCAGAATCTGCCCCATCCTCCATAGAGATCAAAGTGTGTGTGTGTGTGTGTGTGTGTGTGTGTGTGTGTGTGTAAGATATATTAAAGACCTTGAAATCATCCTAAGAACTTGTTCTTATCATCTGAAAACTGAAAAACGAGAGCTTAAAAAATATAGCCCCTTTGTATAAGCTATTTCAAAAAGAAGATACAAGAGGGGAAAGAAGCTTTTCTGCAGATTTTAGAAAACGGTCCTAACAAGAAAACATCTGTCTTTGCTTCTTCATTCTTCTGGGGAGCAAACAGATTGATGGGGTTTCCAATGATCTAGGGTGTTCACTTCATCCTGTCCCTGGGGCTGTCATGAACAAAGAGTGAGTCTAACTCCACAAAATCCAAGCTGAGTTTTCGTTTCTTTGCCCTGCCATCATTTACCACAGATGAAGGAACAGACTCAAGGTTCACTTCCCTTCTACTGTCAGGTGGGAAAAAACACTCAGGCAATCTGAAAAGGTTAAAGGGCAAAGCTTGACCTTAGGGACTGAAATCTGGGGAGAGGGGGAATCCTGGCAAGAACATTATCCCCTTCATAAATTGGATGCAGGCTTGTTCTATTCTGCCAAAACATCCATTTCTAGAGACAGCATCCTTTTCTATAAATCTCTCACTTCAAACACAAAGAAAAAAAATGTTGTTCTTACTCTCTTAAACCTTATTATCGAAGTGAAATTCACTTACCAGCAGTTGTTTCACTCCGCTTCCTGGTGGCTGCTCATCATCTGTGTTCTACCACAAAGCTCATGGTGGTGCCATCAAAGGAAGGAGGAGCAATGATCCGTGGCCCCAGGGGCTGCGAAGTAATGCTGATGACAGGCTTGCCATGCAGCTGGGCAAAGCCCTTGGCCCCTACAAGCTGGGATGTGGCTGCTGGGGCTGAGGAAGATGAGGAGGCTGGAGACTGACCAGAAGCCATGAAGTATGGAGCCTCAGTGAACGTTGCAGCTGCCTCTTTGCTGGAAGACTCTGTGGCTATTGGGGAAAGCTCACTGCCTCCTGGAGTACGAGCAATTGGTGTGGGCTGCAGGGCATTGGGGGGCAGCACGGTGGGCAGAAACCCAGGGTAAATCATGTAGGTGGGTCCATAAGCCCCAGGACTCAGGGCCAAGGGAGACACAGGGATGGACATGGGAGCCACAGCCTGCTGCTGGGAGGTCATGGGCACATCCACATACTGCCCTGTCTCAGGGTCAAACAGTCTTCGGGTCATGGGCTGTACTGGTGTGTCCACCAGATAATACTGGCCAGTTGTCACATCCAGGAGCATCTTACGCTGGGTCTGCTGAGGCTGTGGCTGCTGGAAGGGGTCTGTAGGGACCGGAGCTGGGCCTGCAGGTGCTGGGGCAGGCATGCTGGGTGGGGAGAAGCAGAGGACCTGGGGCTGGGCCCCCTGTAGGGTGAAGGGCAGTGGCGGTTGGTGGTAGATGGTGGTGGGGGGATGCTCAGGGCTCTGTGGCCCTGGGGGGGCAGCTACTGTCTCCCGGGGGTTGTCAGGTTTAGTACCCCAAGCTGGTCGGCTGGTTCCACTAACCTGAGAGCCTTTGGAGCTACTGGGGACCTGACTGCGGGCACTCAGTGGGGGTAAACTGCAGAGAGTGGCGGCTGAGGAGTTGAGGGGTCCCTCCCTGGAAGCCCCAGTCCTGCCAGGAAGTTCCCCTGCAGCAGAGCTTCCTTTAAGAGGGATGGTCAGGTAATTCTCACAGTCACTGTTGCTCTTCTCCAAATTGGTGCCACTTTTCCTGTTGGTCACCTCATCAGGAGGTGCCCGGGTGGCTGGAGAGATCTTGAGGGACCGGAGTCCCTGCGATTTGATGCCCTTAACTGCTGAAGGACTCTCTGGAGAAGGTCCTTGTGGGAACTTCCCAGCGACACCCCCAGTTTTCTGGATGCTGCTGGCACTCACTGTGAACACGTTCCGGTTGCTGGGGAGTGGTGGGAGGGGCTGCAGGGTTTGGGTTCTCTCCACATCCTTGTGGACTGGGGGAATGTAGAGAGATCGGGGTCTTTCCCTGGCCAGGTTCTCAAAGGCCGCTGCCCTTGCAGACACACTCTCAGCGCTGGGGTTGGAGTTTCTCCGCTGCAGACGTTCTATAGGGGCCCCTCGCAGGACCACACCAGCTTTGTTTCCTGTGCCCCGCTCTTCTACCTCACCCAGCCGTTTGGACAGCCTGTCCTGGTCTCCCTCAGCACCCACTACCCCTTCCCTCTCCTCGCTGGCAATGAGCGAAAGCACGTGGCTGTCAGTCATCATAGGCAAGGGGTCACTTTTGCGCTTCCACTCGTTCCTGTTGAAGCTGTACAACTCTTCCATGGACCTCACCGCTGCAGTCAGCTTCTCTAGGGCATTCCGGGCTGGCTTTGTGGCTTTCCCTTCCTCCTTGGTCTCCTCCTCCTTGAGCTTCTCTGGGGTCTTCTGGGTGGAAGCTTTGGAGACAATCTTGAGCACAGGCAGGTATGAGCCCTGTTCAGGCTTATTGGGGGCAATGGTAGCCACAGGCAGCCTGCCAGATGCCCTGTGAACCAAGACTGTCCCTTCTGGGGAGGAGGAATTCAAGACTCTGCTGCCGCCCCCTTTGCCCATGCTCTCCCTGGGCTCTCGGTCCATGCTGTCTTCCCTCTGGTTCACTACAGCCTGGCATGTAATCACCATGGGCGACAGGGATCCAGATCCACCAGCTGCTGCAGACAGCTGCCTGGGTTTGGGTCCAGTCAGGCCCTGCTCTGGGGTAACACTGCCCTTGTCACTGCTATCCCCTGATCCTTTGATTAGTTTCCTGACATCTCTCACCTGGTGGAGGGGCCCTTGAGCCTTGGACTTGTCTCTGATGTCTCTCACCTGGAAATGGGGTACTTTTTCTAGGTTGTCTCCACGGAAGAGTTTCTGCTGTGCCCTGCTGTTGTCCTCGATGGTCTTGAACAGGTTAGAGGCGCTGCCACCGGCCAGCTTGGGCGTGAGCAACTTGGCAATGTTGAAGTCTGAGCTCGGCTGCTGCACACTCCCCAGCCGGATCTTGATTTCAGGAGCCTTGGGTCTGATCACTGCTGTGGAGGTGGCCTGGGCAGCAGGGTACTTGGTGGCCTGCTTCCCCGGCTGCTTGTCCTTGGGTGTCTGCTGGATGTTGGGGACAAAGAGGCGAGACATGATGGTGTTCTTGCTGGCGGAGATCTCCCCGAGATCTCCTTTGGGCAGCTTCAGCTTCCGGATGGGGGCTTGCTCCTCCCGCTTCTCGGCCTCTTTCTCCTTCCATGACCGGAACGCACTGTTCTGACTGCGGAGGAAGATGCCCTTGACGGTCTCTGAGGCACTCTTTTTAATTTCGCACACTTCTATGTGTCCATCGGTGAAGTTCCGGCTAGGGCCTGCGCTGCGCTCGCGAGGGGTACTGGCTTTGAAGATGGGGGATTTGGTGCCGGCCACGGATCCCTCCCCGCCTGCATCAGACACGCTGACCACTGTGTACTCAGAACCGGCCTCGGAGTGGCGAGAGTTCTGCCTCTGCAGGCCCCTCTCTCGCTGCCTCTCACTCCCCAGGGCCCCCTCCATCTCCTTGGAGGTGGCTGCTAGGTGGTGGGATGTATCCGTGACTTCTCCCCTCTCCATTTTGAACTCGTGTTCCCGCTGCATCTTCTTGGAAATGACATTTTTGAGCAGACTGGAGGCGAACTTGGACTTCTGGGGGCCGTCGGCGCGGGAGGGCTTGCTGCCCTCGGAGGTCTCGGAGCCGTCGTCCGTGTACGCCGAGCCGGGACCCTTGCCGGGGCCTTTGGTGGCCCTGCTGGGCCCAGGGGCCAAGCTGGCTTTGCTGTCACTGCGTAAATTCAGGGGCTCCAAAAGGCTGACTATGCGGGAGTCCGTCTGGACCTGCTTCTGGAAACACAGGGGCGTCTCCACGTGTTTGATTTCCCCCTCGACTTTGCTGACCACGAACTCCAAGGCCTTGGTCTGAGACTTCTTGGACTGGATGTAGAGCTGGTCGGCAGTGGCCCGGGCCCCACTGCCCTTCCTCAGACCTGCAGCCACAGAGGCCGCACTGCTTCTGAGGAGGCTCTGCTCCACCCTGGCCCCAACACCCCCACATTTTAAGTCCAGGAAGGTAGACCAGCGCCCAAAGCCCACCTCGGAGAGCGTGGTGGAGGACTCCCTCGAGCTGATGTTGAGAGCCTCAAAGTAGGGGTAAGCCAGGCTCCGGAAGGCCCGGGAGGTCAGGTTACGCACTTCTTTGTCTGCATCGTCCAGTTCGCTCACGGCACTGGAGGCTCCGCTGGAGTAGTCCACCAGCTCCTTTGCCCGGATGGCCCCGCACCTGGTTTGCAGGCGAGCAGGGACAGCAATGAATTTCTTTGCATGGTCCTGAGCCACGGCTGCAGCCGGGTTTTGCTTCAGCGAACTTGAATTGTGTTCAGCAGCTGTGGAGACGCGGAGGCTCATGTCGCCTTCATGCTTGGCAGCATAAATAATGTTTTGCTTTGCATGCACGTTGCTAGGCTCATTTATAGCCCGGGAAGCCGGTTTGATTGATAGGAGGATCTGGCTTGCTGCACTCCCACAGCTGCTTGCGGCGGCGGCTGCTGCCCCTGAAGCTACCTCCGGGGTCTCGGGCAAGGACTCACTCTGGGTGGCAGTGCCAGGCTCAGTGGGTGGGGGAGTGGGGCCACTGTCAGAGGGGCCGCTGCCCACTTCCGTGCTGCTGTTGTTGAGACCACTGTGGCCTGCGTTGGGGCGGGCCAGGTCGCTGCTGGTGGGGCTGGGCGTCCGGGTGGTGTTGGTGCTGGGAGTGGTGCTGAGGTAGCAGCTGTTGTCGTCGTCCTCTTCGGTCGGACTGGTGATGTCCCCCGGGGTCTCGTCGCTGCCACCAAAGGAAGCATAGTCCACAAACGAGTAGATCACGTTGTTGTCCTCGAAATCCCAGCGGGAGGCCAGACCCACGTCAAAATCCATGTCCTGTTCCACCTCACTCAGCTGGATCTCATGGGTGGTGATGTAGTGAGCGTCTTCGACTTTAGGGGGGTCCCTGCTGCCCTGAGACTTGGCAATAATGTCCCTGCACTCTGTTCCATCTCCTGCCCCTCCTCCCCCTCCTCTTCCTTCTCCTTTTCCTCCTACTTCCCCTCCTCCTGTTTTTTTCCCTACTTCTCCTCCCAAGGGCTGGCAAACTTCGCTCTCACCACTCTCACTCTCAAAGCCTAAGGATGAAGAGGAGGTGGCCAGAGCCCCCGTGGATGTGGTGGAGTCCTCCATTTTGGAAAGGCCATCCTCTTTTGCTTTGTTCACCGGAGAGGAAGATGAGGAAGATGAGAAGTTGCCACCCTCTTCAGAGGCAGAATGCTGGGATCTGGCAAGTTCAGAAGAGGCAGGATTTTTCTGGGGGCTTGGAGACTTGCACTTTTGACTGCTGGGTTCATCTTGGGCTTTCTCCTTTGGGCTCCTCAAGGCCCTCTGACCCCCAGGGCAGTGCCCCAGGGTAAGTTTCATGGTCCGGGGACTCTCCCTCTGGACTTCAGCTGAAGCGCACATCTCCACATATTTCGCTTCTCTCTGGGAGGACGCTGAAGGCTTGGGAAGTGGCCACAGCTGCTGCTTGAGCTCCTGGCTGTCTTGAGCACTGCTCACCCCGACCCCCACCTCTTCCTGTCTTGCTTCGGAATTCGGCTCAGGAGGGGCAGTTTCCATTATGAGCCCTTGCCCACGTTTCAGCCACAGGAAGAGACAATGGTGAGCGCTGGGGAAGTCTTGGGTCCCTCTCTGGCTCTGGAGGGGCTGCAGAGTTGCCCGAAGCAGGGTCCCACGTGTCTGGACTGGCCCCAAAGCTGTAGGCACTGCTGCCACCACCTCCCAGTTCTTCAGCCCCTGTGGCGGGGCCGCAGCAAGCCTGAAGGAGGCGGGAAGGCTCCTGGATGGGGTGGCAGAGGTGGTCTGTGGCTGGGGGGCTGCTGCTCTGGCCGAGACTGTGGCCAGTGTTCTGTAGCTGAGCTGCCCTGTCCAGTTGTTTGCCTGGCACCGTCGGCCACAGAGAGGAATCTGAATGCCATCGGCCACGGAAAAAGCAGCATCTGTAGGTTGTCCCCGGGACTCCCAGAAATGAAAGGAAAGCATGTGCTGTTTCTTGTGAAGCCTTGTCCCTTTCCTGGATGGGGTGAGAAAGGGTCACGTCATTCCAGAAATATTTTTAGTGTCCATTCCCTAGTCATATTGAAACCACACTTAAGGGTAGAAAGAAGAGGCTCTAACAAGATGAAAAGAGAAGATTGGGGGTGGAGGAGGCATGTGGGTTCTAATTCAAATCAGCCAAATGTTCTATGCAATCTATTATAGCGATGTCTAGCAAGTATGAAATTATTCTTTCCTCACAGCTATCTTTCACTCTCAAGTTTTTGATTAGATGGCTCCCCCCACTTGTTCTTAAATAAAATTCAAATTTTTCATGCATTTCAAATGAATTAAGGACACTCTGGAAATATTTCAAAAGTCTCCCTGGTACATATGGTAGCTTTATATTTGCTTCAAAATCTATGCATTTCTTTTTCTTTGGAGAGCCAAATCAGATGAGTTTTGGTAGTAAAACTTTCATAGGAATAGAATATTCCATCCCTCTTTCCCCAAAGGTACACACTATGAAACATGACCTGTTTGTTTCGAAATAGAAGAATCTCTTCTAGAATCCTTACTGTGGTGACTCAAATTATAGTGACTCAAAGTATAAAAGGGCAATTTTCAGAGACCTAAACTTAACACTTTAAATACATTTTTAATTATAGTCAGTATAAAGGGCATGTGGAGCCAAAATTGACACTACTTCAAATCCCTACAGTACCTTAATCAATCTCAAAAAAGTTCCCTAAACTTGTAGAACCATGGCAAGACAATAAACCTCCAATTAAATATAGCCTGAGCTGCAGCCTCACAATTCGGTTACACTGGCTGAATTCCAGGCCTGCAGGGCTCTGAGTCAAAAAGCAAAAGAATAATGAATACACTTACCCTTCAAGAGTACAGTGTGGCTTGGAGGGAGGTTCAAAGAGGAAATGTGACCCACTGGAATGCCCCATGGAAACGAAGCCAAAATCCCAGTTCACTGGCTCTGAAGTACATCCATTTCAGACAATTTGGTAGTTGTGCAAGCAAATTTGCCAGTCAACTTGAGATGGGGGTCTGTGCCTGCCATCCTCAAAGCTGATTCCTTGGGTACTATCGGTGGAGAACCATGATGCTTGATTTTGATGAGATCTGACCCTTGTCACCTGCTAGGCCCAATTTCACCACTATACATAGTCTATGTGTCACTTATGCCGATTGAATAAAGCACTATTTTAAACATCCACATTTGTGGGAACAAAAATAACATCATCTACCATTCCCTTCCAACATGAATGCCACCTCCACACAGAAAAATGTTCTTTCCTCTGAATAGGCATGTGGGTAGGTATGGAGTGGGAGCCCCTGACCACTGAAGCATTTACCTTCTCATTCTTGGGCTGCGGACAGCACAGGACTGCCCTTCTCCCCACAACTCCATTCTGCCCACACCACTGCCATTAAAAGATGACTTCAGGCAAGACTCACAATACCAAGAATCACAATGTAGACATAAAGCCAGAGCTGTAGGTGAGGAGAGTAAAAGAGGAAAGGGAAAGGAAAAGGAAGGAAAGGAAGAGAATGAAAGAACAAAGAGAGAAAAAACTTTCTAAATGTGCAATCAACTTTTTGATTATAGAGAACCATGTTTCATATCACAAAATCTTAGAATTTTTTTATTTTTTATTTTTTTGAGATGAAGCCTTGCTCTGCTGCTCAGGCTGGAGTGCAGTGACACGATCTCAGCTCACTGCAACTTCTGCCTCCTGGGTTCAAGCGATTCCCATGCCTCAGCTTCCTGAGTAGCTGGGACTATGCCTGGCTAATTTTTGTAGTTTCAGTAAAGACGGGGGTTCACCATGTTGGAGGCTGGTTTTAAACTCCTGACTTCAGGTGATCCACCCACCTTAGCTTCCCAAAGTGCTGGGATTACAGGTGTGAGCCACGGTGCCTAGCCCTTAGATTCTTAATGATAGTAATTACAATATTCACAGCTAAGACTTACATAGCATTTACTATGTGCCAAGAACTATTGGAACATTTTTAATGTGTGTGTATTAATTGATTTGATCCTCATAACAACTTGATGAGTTAGGTGTAATCATTGTTCTGATTTTATAGATAGAAAAGCTGAGGCAGAATGATGCTAAGAAATTATGTGGCAGACTTCAAACCCACGTAGTCTGGCTTCAGAGCTTGGACCTTCACCATTATGTTATACAGTGTTGCTGACTTCCATGCTCAAACTCTACAGGGCACCCAGATTTACAGTTAGAAGGAAGCCGCTTATCCATCCACTAGGCAACTTAATGTCATCTGCATGACCACAAATGCACCACATAACTTGCTTGTTTATTCTGGTTTTTCATATAACAAAACTGTACAGATTACGTACCCAGGGATTAAGGATCATAAGACTATAAATAAAATGAAATAAAATATAGTTTGCTACTTCAGGCACACCGAGTATTTTCAATGTCCCAATTTAATTTTGCTTTGAGGCTGATCACGTCTTGGACGATAAACCCTGAACACAGCCGTGAGCATTGTAGGGCATACATACTCCATAGCAGAATAGAAGGCAGAGTTTCTACCCATCAAGGCAATTATAGTCTAAGGAGGAATTTTTCCAGCACTTTTCATATGGCCCTGTCTGTCATGACAACAGATTTCAGCAGAGTTTCTCTCTGCAGTTGGCACACTACAAAATTGGAAGGTCATATGCCCTAAGTGTAGGTTAAAACATAATTGCTTAATACCCAAAGTTCTGAAAAATCCACCTCCAGCATCTTGCTTCCTCCACAGAGCACAGCCCTAGTTAAAACTCCCCAAGAGGCAAAGAGAGCATCATTCTGACAGTAGTACTTACCTCCACAGCATCTGTGTGGCTCCTTTACTGTTTTCTGTCTAAATGAATGCCAGTGTAGGAAAAAATTTGAAGGAAAATCTTTTTCAAATGAAGTCAATTTCCAGTTGGGTTTAATTCAAACCGCAAATTCTCTTTAAAAATCAAACGATCTGAATATTTGGAATAGAACAGACTCTATTAAAAGAAAAAACAACTAATAAATAGAAAAACAAAGAAGGCTAAAATGAAACAATTAAGAACCCCAAACTGCTTGCCCTCTGGTATTTTCAGAGTTCTGGTGCAGTATATTTTCCTATGAAAATAAATGCTGTCAGTTTTGTTGAAATAACCCACAGTCATTAGGTAGCCATAGAGCCTTTTATTTCTTAATATGACTACAGTCATTTTTTTTTTACAGATGAACTCAGTGATTGCCTGCCTCATCTCAACTCTTGAGCAATTAACAGTGACTAATGTCACCAGCATTAAGCCATATTAAGCAGGCACACTTGCAAGACCAGGCTAGGTACACTTAGCTGATAACTTTATATGGGAATTCAAAGAGTTACAAAGGAAATGACTCAGTATCATTATTTTTATCTCTGCAGAGAAAGTTTCTTAGCATTCCCTGAAAGCATTAGAGATGATAGTATGTAAAAGAATGAAGGCCAGACTATCCACCAGTTGGTAAAAGGACATGGCTATATTTAGGTTTCTTGACAGTGGCATAATATGATAAATAAATATGTCATTCAAAAGGAAGAACAGTTTATCAAAGGTAGACCGCTAGGCCAGAAATGAAGAGTCAAACTGAGACTCAAATAAGGAATCAGATAAAGGACTTACCAAGTACAGACATTCTCAGGATTTTCTGGGGTGTGATGGGTGAAGTGTATTCTCTGATTACCTTAAATACTGTGTAAGGCCTTCCAGAGACACTTGCACAGCTATTCACACACTGATGTGAAGGAGTCTTTTCTGTTGGACACAGCTCAATACTCAGGGGGTGACCAGTTTTATCTCTTCCTGACCCTGGTAGGCACTCATAAGCATTACGTCTACGGGAAAGGCACTGTGCTATCTTTTTTCCTGAGGTGACAAAGAGTGTTCGTTATTTGGCTAGCAGGGTAAATGCTGTATATATTTTTGCTCATTTGTCCCCTCGATCATACCATAAAAAAAACTATCATTCCCATTTTATAGATAAGAATTGGAAGCTGAGTGAAACATGTACCCTGAATGACTTTTCATAATGGGTAAGTGCTAGAGCCTTGATTAAAACACAGCTCTGAGTGACTGGCTCATGCTAAGTTGATTGAGCATTCAGTCTATTTGGTGGAGGTCACAGGGTCATGCCCACTGCAGGCCAGTTAGCTGTTTCACAGCCTCAGCAAGCTGCCTGCACACAGGAACAGTTGGTCACCATGGAGCCCAATGCAACGGAGTGGCAGGATTAGTATAAAACTATCCCTGTGAATAGAAAAACAGTATGTACCATGGGGATGAAAAAGTAGCACTATCTTCTTGTGCAAAGAGCACGTTATTGTTAAATCATGCCATGCACATTGTAGATGCAACCGGTTAGCTATGCTACTAAAACTTGAAAGGACAGGAAGAAACTATTTACCACCAGAAATAAAATCTCACCAACAGCTTCTCAAGGCCTGCACACAGAGGTCAGAGCTGATGCAAAAATGTTTGCTACTTTCCCCCTTGAGTCAGGTTGTATATCAAGGAGTCACTCCTCTCTAATCTCCCTCCCTCTCCTTCTCCTCTCTAAATGGTCTCTTAGGCATTTGCCCTCCCTTTCCTCACTCCCATTGCCCCTCTTTTTCCTCTTAGCACCTGACTTGTTATCCCAGATAATAGTTTTCATCTGGCTTTCTCTTAAGGGCGTTATGGAGGTTTTGGTGTTTCAGATCTTGCTGGATAACGGGAAATTCTTCCTTCTAGACCGGCTTCAGAATGAAACATCGACAGGACCAAAAAAATCTTTTCTATATAATAATGGCAACTTCAAATAATCTAATCCTAAATCTTGGTCCATCTTATCCAAGACCTCTGTCTGTTAGCCCAGAATGCATGATGCAGGGCCCAGAGAAGTGAGTGGCCAAGGGCACCCTCCCCAGTGTGGAGGACAGGACAGAAAAGCTGCCTCATGCTTTCAGAAGTTCCTGTAAGTTTTGTCAGGTTGATGATGAAACAGAGTTTAATTAACCAGCCAACTCATATGCCTGTCTACAGAATCACATGAATGACTTATTTCTGTGATTTTTTTTAAAAATAATTATTTCTTGTCTTTTAATTATTGATATTGTATTTTGAGGGCTAAAACCATGTTTCTGTATCTGTTTATTTTGGAAAATGTTTCTTCTCCCTACACATCTGATTTCAGACTTCAGCGATTTCAAACATAAGCCTGAAAGGAAATACTCAATATTTTATTTTTTAGCTTTCTATTTCTATGAATACTGTTGAAAATTATTTAAGATGTCATCATCTTCCCTTTCTTCAAATCTCACATTCTTCACAAACTTCAGATACAAATTAGAGCAACTTTTTAGAAAACAATCTGACCATTTATATTTATCAGACAAAATAGAAAGATTATGAGGGCTTAATATTATATGCATGAGGATGCTTATTGTAGTGCACTATGATGTCATAAAAATTGGAAACCACCTAAATATCAATCAAGAAAGATGATTGACTGATTACAGTGAATGCATACCATGAAACATTGTGTAGACATTAATTCAAATGAACAGTTTTAACCTTGAAAGGATTTCCATGAAGAGAAAATTGAGGAATAAAATGTGTTAGTACCATTCCATTTCAAAAATAACAATAACGGTAATATCCATTTAAGTAAGCACATAGTTCTACAGCATAGAAAATATTATGGGAGGCTGGGCATGGTGGCTCACTCCTGTAATCCCAGCACTTTGGGAGGCCAAGGCGGGTGGATCACAAGGTCAAGCGATCAAAACCATCCTGGCCAACATGGTGAAACCCTGTCTCTACTAAAAAATACAAAAATTAGCTGGGCGTGGTGGCGAGTGCCTGTAGTCCCAGCTACTCAGGAGGCTGAAGCAGGAGAATTCCTTGAACCCAGGAGGTGGAGGTTGCAGTGAGCTGAAATCGTGCCACTGCACTCCAGCCTGGTGCCTGTCGACAAAACCAGACTGTCTCAAAAAAAAAAAAAAAAAAAAAAAAAGAAAGAAAGAAAGAAAGAAAAAAAATATTATGGGAGTATAAATATAAAACTAATATTATTTTTGTACATCAGGGAAGGTAGAATTCAAGAAAGGGATGGGTGCATTGTTACCTTTTCCTTTAGGTAGCTCAGTGTTGTTTGAATTGTTACAACAAACATGTTTTTCTTTTATAACAGAATAAATCATTTTATTTTGGAAAAATGTATTTTCTCTATAACTTTTCCCTAAGTTAAACCCAAACTAATCTGAAGCTAAGAGTTGAAACAAAAATATTCACAATGGAGTAGACTAAAGACAGACCTTTTAACTTAACTTCCTTATTTTATCAGTACTGGAACAGAAGTTTAGAGAAGTGACTTACCCAAGGTCACACATCTATGAATAGGTGAGGACAACTAAAATTAATTTCTCCTGACCTTCTTGTTCTTGTGTTTTCAAACTTTGACATCAGAGTGACCAGAAGGAAGAGGAGACTTAATTGCATTCTCAAAAAAATGTGGTATATTCCCTTAAAGAGCAAAAAATTTCATTGTGACATATTTTATCTTTAAAACTATGTGAATGTAATCAACAAACTAGTGTCACATGTAACAACATGAAGGAATCTCACAAAAACAATTTTAAGGAAAAGAAGCCAGTGGCAAATAGAACATACTATATGATTCTATTTATATAGAAATCTAAAACAGGACAAAGTAATCAGTGATTAGTTGGCAGTCAGGGTAGTGGTTAATTTTAGTGACACTCGGGCTCTGGAGTGCTGGTAGTCTTCTATTTCTTCATCTGGGTGGCAGTTACGTGGATGCATTCACTTTGTAAAAGTATATTGAGCTGTGTCCTTATGACTTTGCACTTTTCTGAATAAATATCATACAATATAGTCATTAAGAATTAATGTGATTTTTGTAATCATGTCTGTTTTGGTATATGTATTTTTCAAATCTTGGAATAAAGTTTATGGTTTATGAAAATATGCAATATTTATCTTGTCCTTAACATACCACTTGGTACACTGCAGAGTCCCTCCAGAGGTGTCAGTACCCTGGTGTGAAAAGCAGGGGATCAGAGCCAACATTCAGGGCATGGGCAGTGCCACACTGCCTGAGTTTGAATAGTGATTCAACTATTCCTAGTCATATAACCAAGGACATGTAATTTAGCTTCCCTGTATCCCAATAGGGTACACTTCAATAAGATTGTGGAGATTAAGTTAGAGAATACATTTAATGCACTTAGTATAGAACCTGGCCCATAGTAAGCACTGAATAAAAATGCTAATGATTGCTAACTATTGTTGTGCTATGGGGAAATTTTAATCCTTCTTCCACTACATGTGTGTTTCCACCCCCTACCACATACACACTAGGACATTACACTTTGCTTGGTATTTATCGGATGCTCAATTTTTTAGCTGAATTGAATGCGATAATTCCCCATGATCTGTAGAAGAAAATTCAGTCTCCTTAGTTCTCTTTTAAGGTTGTCTCTCATTTCAGCTTTCACCTATTTTTCTAGTTTTAGTTTATTCTCTGCTTTATATAAATCCTCTGTCCCAAACACAATGTCTAAAACCATTCCCACAGATGACTTAAATGTCTTTTTATCTCAGGAAATTTCTTTGCACTCTACCCATTTCCTGAAATATCCATCCTCCTTCTCTGTACCTTCTATAATTTAACCAATCCTTTTAAGATTGAGACTAAATTTATTTCCCACGGCAATGCTTCTAATCCTTTTTTTTAATTCACAAACCCTTTGAGAATTTCACAATTCACTCTTTTTTTAAAAAACATGCACAGGTATACAAACCACCCAGTTTTGTAAGTTTTACAATCCCCCTGAATCCTAGACCAGCCCCCCATCTAGGGTTCCCCAGTCTACCATCACCAACACAAAATGACTCTTTTCTTGATGCACATAGTAAATTACTCTCTGGACGGATGCTGATACTTCTTTTATTGAATTTTGCTTTCATTTGCATGTGTTTTTCCTTTCACCTTGAATGTAAGTCTCTTGAGGATAAAGATATTGTCTTATACATTTTTGTTTGCCAACAATGACTAGGCAATGCGCTTCTCACATAAGGAAAACACAATAAAGAATTGCTGACTAACTGACCCCTGATCATCTATATTCTTTTCTCTGTTGATCTCATCCTGGCCCTTCATTTTAAAC